GTGGGAATATAAATCAGAGCAACACTATGGAGAACAGTTTGGAGGTTTCTCAAAAAACTTAAAATACAGCTACCATACGATCCAGCAATCCCACACCTGAGTATATACCCAAAGGAAAGGAAACTGGCCTACGGAAGAGGCATCCGCATTGCTGTTTGCTGCAGCACTGTTTATAGCGGCTACGATCTGGAAGCAACCTCAGTGTCCATCAGCAGATGAATGGGTCAAGAAAATGGGTGCACGCATGGAACGGAACACTGTTCAGCTATAAAAAAACATGAGGGCCTGTCATTTGCAGTGACATGGATGGAACTGGAGATCATTAAGTGAAATAAGCCAGGCAAAGAAAGACAAACGTCCCATGTTCTCACTTATTTGTGGGACCTAAAAATCGAAACAGTTGAACTCAAGGACACAGGACAGTGACCAACGGCTGGGAAGGGGAGGGGGTGGGTTGGGGGAAGGTGGGGACGGTTCATGAAATGAGTAAGATCTACCATTTGACTGTGGGAGCTAGCACCTACGGACATGTAACAGCAAGACTACAGTCAACAATAACTTAACTGTGCATTTAAAAATCACTGGAAGAGTATAACTGGATTGTTTGTAACACGGAAGATAAATGCTCAAGAAGGTGGACACCCCATCTTCCACGACGTGCTTATTACACCCTGCATTCCTGTATCAAAACATCTCACATACGCCGTAAGTATACACACCTACCATGTACCCACAAAAATTAAAAATCAGGGAAATGAAAACTGGTGTCTCTCCACCCTGCTGGCGCTTCCCTGCCCCGGCCCAGTGCTGCCTCTGAGTGCCTCTAGGCATCATGGTCACCGTTAGCCTCTGTCCCCAGAACTAGTAGGAGACCAAGGACTCTGTCCCCCCTGCTGCTGAATCTCCAGCATCCAGAGCAATATGTGACACACAGAAGGGACACACTAATAATGTCCCGAACGCATGGATCCATGCACGAATGAAGAAGGAAGCCCACATGGGCATGATTGCTGATCAAGCTCCAGGGCACCCCATGGGCCATCTCATCCAATCCCCACAAGCCTGTAAGGGAGGTTCAGGTGTCGGCCTTGCTCTGCAGGTGAGAAAACACAGGCTTGGGCAGCCACTCCGACAGCACCTGGCAGGCAGGCGGCAGGCGGTCAAGTTTGGCCAGTCCCGTCAGTGGCTATTTAGGCAGGTGGGGACTCACAGGGAACCGTGCTGAGCTGCAGGCCCACTCTGTGTCAGCCATGGTCTCACAACTTTACTCATAATCCCTCCGCACGGTCGGTATCACGATTGCCCTTTTTACAGAGGGGCCCAGGTACCTGCCCAGGGTCACAGAGACGAGGTTCACGCACAGACTGTCCCCTCCCACGCACACTACTGCACAGGCCCACTTCAACACAGCTGTGGTGGAGGCTGTGGCTGGCTCACCCCAGTGTGTGAGTGCCATGGGGCACGCTCTTTACAACTCCAGGCCTAGTGACCACATCGGGAGCCTGAAATCAGCCCTGTGGGAGCATTTACATCACAGGAATCAGCAAAGGCAGCACATCGGGGCTGCGTGTGGATCTGTCACAGGAGACGGCGTTGTCGGACACCTGCCAGCACACCACTGCCCAACTCCCTTCAATCACACAGCAAGGTGACCACTGTGGCCGCCCTGGAGGCCTGATGTGGTGGCGGGTGAATGATACTGAACAAGGCTGTCTGCAAAGACTGCACTCAACATTTTTAAATTAAATGCGATTCACGGAACACTTGAGCCCCTCCTCTGGGCCTGTATTTAAAGGCGAACGAGACAGGGCTATACACTAGAGGGTTTCTGGCACCACAGGGGACTGACTATTCCCAGCCAGCAGCAGTGAGAGCTGGAAGGTGGTGAGCTCCAGAAAGGAGCTGTGCATGAGCCTGGACAGGCCAACCAGGGGCCGTGACAGAGGGGGAGGACGGGCTCGGGTATGCAGGCCGAGGAAGGTGTGGCGGGGATGGTGGCAGGGCCAGGGCTCTAGGACACGCTCTGCATACTTTACTGACTCTGCTCCACGAGGCTGGCTAGCCTGGCCTGGACCCCCCTTCCCCTATGGCTTCCTGGTGACAGTGGGGGATGGGAGAGGCGTGGGGGCCTGGTGTACTTAGTTCCCTGGTTCCCCACAGGCAGGAGGCTGTCTCGGGCTGGCTCTGTCCTGGACCACGGTGGAGCAACCTCATCTTGGTGGGGTCCAGCCCACACGCACCGCACTCCCTGGCTCTAGTCACCACTTCCTCTGCGCGTTCCTCTGGACCTGGCACGGCGACAGCTCTGTTGTCACCAGTTCTGGTCCTGTGGTGTCCCTGGTGGTCCCTCCAACCCTACCCTATAGACACCTTCTTGAAAATAAACTTGTCTCCAATTATCTGGGAATGAGCGAGCCTCCTGCTGCCTGTTGGATTCTGATGACATGACGGTGTGGGGTGAGGCCCTCCATAGCCCAGGACAGGCAGGCGAGGCCCGGGACAGGCAGGCGAGGCCCGGGACAGGCAGGCGAGGCCCGGGACAGGCAGGCGAGGCCCGGGACAGGCAGGCGAGGCCCGGGACAGGCTGGGGCCGCAGCGGACTGTCCGAGCTGCACGACTCTGCCTGGGCTGTGCTGTAGATGGACATGCCGTTGGTCCCAGGACCCTGTGCACTGGCCCTACCACCTCTTGGGCCTCAGCACCTCAGTTTCCAGGCTGGGGATAATGACTCATCTGCCTAGAGGCAGGGCTGGCAAGAGGACCCTGCGTCTTCCAGACCTAAGCTGAGGACCCTCAGAGGTCTCTGCCCACATCGCTGGCCCAGTGCATTCTCTGCCTGGCCTGTCCCTTGGCCAATGTCCCTCCAGTCCTGCCTAGTACGGTCCCCCAGCCGACGTGTGGGATGATGGGCCGGCAGGCTGCTCGGGGAGCAGGCGGCGAGGGAAAGGGCCCACCGACAGTCTGGCCGCGGATGGAGCCCCGCCCCGCATGGCCTGGCTGCCTTCCCTCTGCACAGCCCTTCCTGGCTCCCTCTCCTCTTGGGCCCTCCAGGACAATGAAGCTAATTGCCCTTAGACGCCTCCCTCCTGCGGGAAGGGCGCCGCGTGGCCCTGGGCTGGCAGGGCAGGCTGCAGTGGGAGTGAGGCTGGCGGTGAGGCTGGGCACCGGGCCATTTCTCCAGCACCTCTGGGCAAAGCTGGTTCCAGCCAGAAATGGGAAAGGGAGGGAGGGGGAACGCCGGCCCCCATCCGACGAGCTGTGAGGAGTGTTACAGCCTGCACCACCTGCGCAGGTCACCTGCCTGCCTGAGGCGAGTCCACCCACCTGCAGATCTGTGCTGCCCTCGCCCTCACAGCCACCACCCCCCGCTGCATATTTAATTCTGCTGACCTGAAGAGGTGGATACCACAAGCCGAGTTTCACAGAGGGGACACCAAGGCCGGCGCCAAGTGGTCCGTGAGCAGGAAAGCCCCTCCCCCACCTCCCCAAGGCCTGGGATACCTACGTCTTCCTGGACACATCCTGCCACACTCACAGTTTGAATGTGGTTGGTATACACACGTGTGACAGGCCGGTGGGAGGAGGGGCTTGGGGCTGTCAGCTGCACATGTCCCTGTAATGGAGACCAGAACAGGACAGATGGATGTCCACTTCTGGAGTCTGGGGCAGGGGCCAGAGTCTGGCACATGTGGTGCCTTCCTGTGGCAGGTGGCAATTCACAGGCAGGCACCCACCCCCTGCCTGGCCCACGGCCCTCCTGAGATCCTGGAGGAATCTGGTGCCGGAAGGGGAGGCTGGGGACCCGGGGGCTGACCTCTGGTAGGCAGGGGGTGTGGGTTCCAGTCCCCAGGGTCCCTGATGATGGCTGGACCAGGTGACCTCGTTACTCTGACTTCCCTTGCCTGGAAGCAGGGGTGGTCCTGCCCTCCTCCCCTCTATACCCCCGAGGGTGTGCATATGAGGCCCTGTCTCTACGTGCCAGGAATTCTACATCCTCATCTCTGGCTGCGATTGAGCAACCTGAACACTCCTTCAGTTCCAGAAGCTCAGAACAGGTAGTTCCTGCAGGAGACACCCAGCCCAACCCACCAAAGTCTCCTCCATTCCCTCCCTGACCGGCACCGCAGCTGTTGCTCAAACAAGCCTCCTGATGGGCGCTTTACCGACGGGGAGGCTCCTTCAGCCCAGCTGAGAACAGCTCTGCCAGTCACTGAGCTGCAATCTGCCCTCCGGAAACTTCCACCCGGAGCCAGGCTTTGCACGCGTCCCACAGACTCCTCTGCGCAGGCTGGCCCTCCGAGGACGCACAGAATCCGCCTCTCTATGACGCTTGGCTTGGGTGAAACCTCGTTTCCTGAGTGGCCAACTGCTACCAGCTTTGCCCGTCCTGGCTGCTCCTCAGCACGACGCCAACGCTCTGTTCACTCCCAACTTACAGGTCAAGAATCACAGGCAGATGGCTCTGTTCGGATCTGAATCTGGGCCAACCTTCCAAATTGTCACCCAGTGTCACCAGCGTGCAGGTGCTGTGTACCCACACGGGTTCACCTTTCCTTCCTCAGGGTCCGGGAGCAGCTTCGCTTCTTGATACCCGTGTGCAGAAATGGAGGCTCCCCAGCTGTGCCTGCCCCGGTGGCCAGTTTAAGAGCAGAGGGGGTGGTTTCCACCAGCCAGATCACAACCAGAGAGCGCGTGGACAGGAATGAAGAGCGGGAGTCCCAGGTGAGAAGCAGGTGTCCACAGCGGGGAGAGAGCAGAGGAGGCGGGAAGGACAGGAGGAACAGGAGGCCGGGCATTTCTAGATAACGCATTTGTTTCTTTCTTGGAGGTAATGTTCCTATTTTCTTTTCTTGTTTTAATGTGCACATTGTAAGTCAGTGAAGTTTCAGAGAAAATAAAAGATCTAAAACGGATGAAGCTGAAGCTGGGAACGTGATGTTAAAGGAGGGCCCAGATGTCCCCGACTGGCGCCCGGTGTCCCCCCAAGGAAGAGGACGGAGGCCGGTTCCTCTTTCTGCCTGCTGGGGTCGGGCCTGGCTCCGGCAACGACATCCCGCTGTGGTTAAAGCTGCACGGGTGGGAATAGCACGGTTTATCTGGGTATCTCCGAAGAGGGCGTGGCTGGCCCTGCTCCTAGGACACCCGTGACCCTGGATCCCAGGAGGTTGGAGCTGAAAAGTGTCTCAGAGAACATTCTGTCCACTTTGTCAAGGAGAAAATGGGCATCAGAGAGGCCGACTTGCCCCACACGCTGCTGGCGTGGGCAGGAGGTGCTGGTGTTCTTCACATCCGCACCACTGTGAAAGTGAGCAGTGGCATGCATGAAGCTGTCCCCAAAATGTACACCATGTGACTGCTCGGTGCCAGGTTCTAGATGTCTGGGGCACACCAGCGGGTACAGTCCTACCTTCAGGGAGCAGGCTCTTGTTGGAAGCCCTACCCAGCATTAGCTAAACTGGAGATGGGGGATTCGACACTCGGGGGTCACCCACCTGCCTCTCTACGATGCTTGGCTTGGGTGAAACCTCCAGCTTCCTGAGGGGTCAACTGCTACTAGGGGCTGGATGGGAGGTACCTTCGAAGGCTGGGCATGTCCTCCTAGCACTGAACATTTGCTTCGGTGACTCCTAAAGAGGCTCCCCCATGTGTGGATGAGAGGGGGGACTCTGCTTCCCAGGAGCACAGATGCAGAAATAAACCATCACGCCGGGCACGGTGGCTCATGCCTGTAATCTCGGCACTTTGGGAGGCCGAGATGGGTGGATCACCTGAGGTCAGGAGTTCAAGAGCAGCCTGGTCAATATGGTGAAACCCCGTCTCTACTAAAAATACAAAAATTGGCCAGGCGTGGTGGTGGGTGCCTGTAATCCCAGCTACTCAGGAGGCTGAGGCAGGAGAATCACTTGAACCCGCGAGGCGGAGGTTGCAGTGAGCCAAGATTGTGCCAATGCACTCCAGCCTGGGTGACAAGAGTGAGACTCTGTCTCAAACAAACAAACAAACAAACAAAAACAAAAACCCTCATGAGAGTTTTCTAGGACCTGCTGAGATCCCAGAAGGAGGCTTCCCCCAGGTGCTTTTGGACCCAGGATTAGCCAGGGCTTTCCCGGGACGGAGGTCGCAGGTGGGAGAGGGGACAGGAGGGCCCGGGCAGCCACAGCGCTCTCTCCTGCACCAGGTTCCTGCCTCCAGACTCAGCTGTTTCCTTCGCCCAGAAACAGGCCACTTCCACAGCTCTGGGGCTCCTGATGCCAAGGTCTGTGGTTCCGGCTGGACTGGGAGAGTGTGTATCCCTGTCAGATGGGAGCAGGGGCCCCGACCAGCCTGGAACACCCCCAAAAGCCAGGTCGTAGCCGGCAAGAAGGTGAGAGGCCTGGGAGCCGGGGGCTGCCCCTGCTCCTGTGGGGACTCCTCCCTGCCCCCAAGCCTGCCGTGCCAGGACAGGCAGCTCGGGGGACCTCCCTCTCCAGGGCAATCTCATGCCCCCTTATCAAGAGCTCTTCAGGAGGGTCTCAGACCACGAGACCCCGAGCACAAGTGCCTGCGCTTCCATCACTGAGTCCCCAGACGCTGACACGTTTCAGGCACACAGCAGGTGCTCGGGAAATGCTGAGTCAGATTGATGATGCTGATGATGACAGCAGTGACAGATGGTGGTTGAAGGTGTATGAGTGCCCAGCACTGGGTGAAGTGCTGAAAGCACATTATTTCATTTAATCTTCAATGCACTCAACTGGCATTCTTGATGCAAGGAAAGAAACTCAGAGTGGGGAAGTTACTTGCCCAAGCACACAGCCAGGATGTAGCAGACCTGGGATTTGAACCCAGGCCTATCTGACCCTGGAACCACCTGCTGCTGCCCAACAGGTATGCACTGCTTTCCAACTGGGAGCAAAAAGAAGGTGTGCCCTCCACCCAGGGCAGGGAGGAGGGTGGGCATCAGGGTGATGCTCTCCCCTTCCCCAAGCCCCCCAGGCTCCTATTGAGCCAGCTGTCCCGGCTTCCTGAATTCATTCTAAACTAGCAACCAACCAGCGTTTCCTGAGTCCCTGGTATGTGCCTACTTGTGTGCTTGATGCTGTCCTTCAAGGTGCAGAGGGCACCACGGCCTCTGTAGGGGCTGACTCGGGACCTCCCCGGCTCCCATGGGGACAGGTAGTGGTGTGCTGGTAACATCCACAATTGGCTCTGTGGGGAAAAGCCTCCTTGTGGCGTTTGTCAATTTCCCTGGTGTTAATACTGACACTATCGCTGATTCTAAGCTGCCAGCCTGACGTCTCTGAAGGTGCAGCTGGGAAGAGGTCGTTGCAGTCCAGAGTTTATACGAGACTGCAGCCCACCTCTGGAAGGGGAGGAAGGGGAGGACCTGCCCCAGCTGGGCTCCAATTCACCCTCCTTGCCCCAGCAAGAGGTCTGGGGAAGCCCAGGGATGGGAGCTGGTGAGCAAACGGGAGCTCTGCAGAGGAGGGCGGGGGCTGCTCCTCGAGGTGGGAGGAGGCTGGTAGCGCTGCTTGCTGGGGAAAGGCTCAGGAGCTGCCCAGGCCTGGGGCAGGCATGCAACCGAGTGACTTGCTCCCGCTCCATCCAACCCCTTCTGTCCTGACAGCAGGTTTCATATCTTTTATTAATTAGGGCTGTTGGGCGGCCCGCCACACTGCATATTACTTCATTCAGGGACCATTAGGTCTCCGTGTTCCGCAGCCACTGGCTCTCAGGCCCCCTTCCCTGCCGCCTTCTCCATGAGGACTTCCCAGAAGGCCCAGGGCAGATCAAGAGCCTGCCCCCACCCCTCAGACCGAAGGGGCTTCAGGGATCACCCAGGCAGAGCCGCACTGCAGGTGAGGAGGGCTCTGAGGCCCAGAGTCACTGAGCAAGCCAAGAGCCCACCACCAAGTTGCACGCTCTGCCACCTGCTGTCGGCAGTGGAGGGCGGGCACAGGCTGGGCCGCTGCGGTCCCTGCCACCGCCCTGTGCAGGGGTGTGGATTTCCCCACCCTCTTTCTCTCCTTTGTTAGGTCCACAGCTTTGCATCTTCCCCCAGGGCCTCAGGGCTCTCCCACAGTGGCGTGAGGGCAGGCGGTCCAGCAGGGAGGTGCTGGGTGGGCCACGGGCCGGACCTCCCTGCAAACTACAGGCCTCGGCGTGCAGCTGGCTCTCCAGGCCCTGGGGGACACGCCTGGGTCTCACAGAGCCCCTGACACTGACCAGTCTCCTGACACAGCCCCTGGAGTGAGCAGAGTGCCCTGTCCCTTGGCCTGGGCTTGGTGCGGGGTAGGCACTTCCATGCTCTAGCTCTGGTCTCCCTGCCTAGAGGCAGGACCTGGCCCAAGCCTCTAGGCCCAAACTCATCAGTGAAGACCCCGAGCTGCTGTGGTGCCAGGAAATGATGTGCCAGAATCAGCTCCGCATCTGTGAGGCAGCGTGCTCTGCATACCCTGCGTGTGTGCTCACGTGTGCTGCAAGTGCCCTGTGTGGTCATGTGTGCTGCATGTGCCCCGTGTGTGGTATGTGTGTTCATGTGTGCTGCATGTGCCTTGTGTGTGGTCATGTGTGCATGCCCTGTGTGTGCTCGTGTGTGCTGTGGGTGACCTCCTGTCCCTGCCCACAGGAGAGGGTGGTGTGTGGTCATGTGTGCTGCATGTGCCGTGTGTGGTCATGTGTGCGTGCTGTGTGGTCATGTGTGCTTCACGTGCTGTGTGCTCATGTGTGCTGCATGTGCCCTGTGTACGCTGTGTGTGCTGTGTGTTTGTGTGCTTTATGTACCCCATGTGTGCTCATGTGTGCTGCGTGTGCCATGTGCTCATGTGTGCTGCATGTGCCCTGTGTATGCTGTGTGTGCTGTGTGCTTGTGTGCTTTATGCACCCCATGTGTGCTCGTGTGCTGCGTGTGCCATGTGCTCATGTGTGCTGTATGTACCCCGTGTGTGCTCATGTGTGCTGTATGTACCCCATGTGTGTTTTCCGTGTGCCGCATGCTGTGTGTGCTCTGTGCACTGTCTGTGTGGCCTGTGGGTGTTCGTGTGTGTGCTCCATGTGTTCTGTGTGCCCCATGTGTGGTGTCTGTGCCGTGTGCTCATGTGTTCTGTGTGCTGCATGCTCACTCACTGTGTGTGCTCCATGTGTTCTGTGCATTCTGTGTGCTCTGTGGGTGCTCCCTGTGCGTGTACTCCACGTATGCTCTGTGCAATCTCCGTGTGCTCCATGTGTGTTCCATGTGGCCTCCATGTGCTGTGCTCTGTGCATGTCGGGAACAGCACTAGGTCATCTGTGCTTCTGGACAGGAAAACAAGCTCCATGTCTACCTTCACCATCTTGCAGCTGAATGTTGGTAGCACCTCCATGCACAGATGCAGCTGCAAGCCCCAGGGCGTGAGGCCGGCCGACCCAGGACCCATCATCCCATCGCCAGCCGCAGGAGCCTCAGGCCTTCGTGTCGTGCCACCACTGCTCCACTATCTGCCACCTTCCCGCCCTGTCCAACTCCAAACCTGGGCCTGGTCTCTCGCATGTTAGGAAGCCATGGGTTACGGTTTCATGTATGAGTATTTTCTCTCTTGGTAACTGTATCTCAATACAATCGGTTTCCTTCATAATCCTGTATGCTTTATTTTGTGCATTTAAGACCGTTATTGGGAGAAGGGGTCAGACACTGAGGGGTTCAAGGCAAAGACTTGGTAGAAACCTCTGGCCCAATGATGCCAGGGGCCTCCCCGCTCTGATGGCTGAGAGCTGGCCCCGAATCCTGCTCAGCTACCTGGCCCCAGACCAACCCCAACCCCTGCCCAGACTCAGTCCCTCCCTGCTCAGGTCAGCACAGATCTCAGCTGAAAAGCCCTAGGCGAGGGGACAGGTTTTCACACGATTAAGCCGCAATTCTCTCCAAGCTCACTGCATACAAATCATAAATAATGTGGCCCCATAAATCCTCTTCTCCCACCAGCTTCACCTCCGCCCGATTCTGCGTCTTGCCTGGGGATATCGGCAAGGAGTTGGGTATCCGGCTGATGGGGCTTGGTGGGCAGGCACAGAGTGGGGTGCTGGGAGGCACAGAGCGGGGTGCTGGGAGGCACAGAGCAGGGTACAGGGAGGCACAGAGCGGGGTGCTGGGAGGTGCAGAGCGGGGTGCTGGAAGGCACAGAGTGGGGTGCAGGGAGGCACAGAGTAGGGTGCTGGGAGGCGGGTTCACCTCGAAGATCAACCAGACTAAACACCAACAGGTCCCAGCTTTCGGGGTATGGGGGCTTGAGGCTGCTCAGGCCTCAGCACAGGGGCGACCAAAGGCCTCCTTCCCACCCAGGGAGACCCTCTGCCTCCAGGGAGGAGGGGAAGCTCATGGTGACCTCCTGTCCCTGCCCACAGGAGAGGGTGGGGAGCAAAGGTTCAGAGATCCCTGTAGGTTACCAAGGCAGGCGCCAGTGGGAGAAGCCAGAGGAGTGGGCCCCTGAGGAGGCCTGGCCCAGCCTTGTCCATCCACGGTCACTACCAACTCTCAGCAGAGCTTCACTGCAGCTCCCGTCTCACCCTGCACCTTCCCACTCACTCAGGTGAGATCAGTTTGCTAGCATCTCCTAGCCATCTCTGGGATATCATGGTGAAAAACTACCACCATGTGGTGTCACAGACAGGCTTTGCGTGGGGCTTCTCTGCTATGACCCGGCTCTTCCCTCCTCTAATCCTTGAGGTGTCCAAACACCTCCTCTAGGAAGCCTTCCAAACTACCCCTACCCAGCTGTGATCTCCACTGTACTGTTCCTCCTCCTTCCTTACTGAAGTTCTGCTGAGATGCTGCTGGGAATGGATAAGCAGGTGAGCACATGAGCATCTGTGGTGCACACAGCATCTGGCCCACACCTGAGGGTGGACCCACAGATACCAGGTTCCTCCTCAGTGGGATGGCAAGATCATTTTCCAGGCCAAAGCTCCCTCCCAGGGCCTTGCGAGGATGACGCAACAGGTCAGCTGTCGAGTGACCCACCCGAGCAGAAGTGCCGCAGAGAACCCGCCCATCCTGGCTGTGAATATCAGAGCAGCCCCTGGGCCTCTCTCCCCCAGGGTCCCCGGGCAGCTGGCTCCACCAGGCAAAGACGCATCCCCGTTTCTGCTTTCTGCATACTCACCAAGGAATATTAGCATTATTAATGGCCCATGGTCTTCATTTAGCAAATGGAACAGGATATTACACACAGTGCCCAGGACATGAGGTGGGCAGGCAGGGGTGGAGACAGCGGGAAGGCAGGACCCACTCTTGTGTCCTGCGCCCAGCAGCCTCAGGTCTGGGACGTCCCCCCGTCCCTCCCACAGTGCCCTGGGGCTTCCAGCAGCCACCTCCTAGTTACTGTGAGTTCCAAGAAGGCGGCTTCAAATGAACATCTGCAAAATGTAATTAGGAAGGTAAATTTCCTGGCAACGACATAACGCATCCTACCGTCAAACACCCACCCGGTGGAATCTGGTTTGAAGACTGGATTTATTCATCACTTGGAATCAGTCCCCTGACGATCCCTTCTGCAATGGGGGCACTCAGGAGCTGGTGGTCCGGGCAGTGTCTCTGGAGGGGAGGCTGTGGGGACAGAGCCCCTGGGTGCTGACGCCTGGTCGGTCACGTGTGGCTGCACATGGCAGGTGCGCACAGCTCTGCAGCCTTGTGGCTGGGACACAGTGAGGTCTGTGGCGCATGGTGAGCTTGGAGACTCTGCCCCTCAAAGTCCAGCCTGAGGACCCTGTCATCTGCTAGAAATGCAGATTCCTGGGCCACACCCTGACCTGCTGCCTGGGAATCACAAACCACAGGTGTCCCAGGGGAGGGGTCCTGAAGCCGGTTGGCACTTTGACCACGTACATTGGAGCCACCCTAGGGCCCTGCCTGTGGTCGGCCATGAGCGACACCAGGGGAGCGGAAGGAGCCTCCATGCAGGGACACGGAGGAGGGGGCAGTTCCCCCAGGCCTGGGCCCAAAAGGATGCTGCGTGGAGCATCAGGGACAGCAGCCATTGGTGGACACTGGCATTCCCACCAATGGTGCTGAAACAGCCAAGGGGCCTCGAAGAGGGGTCTGGAGAAAGACCACGGGGGGCAGGCTTCTGAGTCCATGGGAAACGCCAGCTGGGCACCCTCAGTCACAGCAGAGCTTGAGGAGGGGGCAGAGACTTGGCGAGGCAGAGGGACCCTGAGTGCCGTCCTCCAAGAATCACACTAAGTGTGACCCCATCTAATCCCATAGATGGTGAGGCTGGGGACACAGCACACCCAGATGAGGACACAAGGTCACAAGGTAATTGGCATCAGCTGGTCTAGAAGCTAGGCCCGGAGGCAGGAGGTGCTTTCTGCTTTACCTGTCGGTACCTCCGAGCACCTGCCCAGTCCACTGCCCGGCCACAGCCAGGGAGACAGTCAGGGCCACAGGCCGCCCTGGAGCTATTTAATTTGTGAAATGGGACCGGCAAGGGAAGGCGGTGGGGTCCCTGGGAGGTGGGATGGGTGGTGGTGGGGTCCCTGGGGAGG